AAAAAAACCGGTTCCTTTTTTCATCGCTGTCTCTGGCTTCGATACATTGACAAGTAGGTGTGAAAGATCCAGAGCTACAGGCTTCCCTAACACCGGTACAGCTCACTCTGTTTGTGAGCAAGAGGCAATCCCCACCTCTGGAATCACAGCTTTTGTCTTTAAACCTTTCAGCGCAGAGCAGCTCTGACCTTTGCTCACTGCAGCTCTTTACCAGAAGTGCTCAAGAATTACCACATGTTACTCAACACCTGCACCAAATAAAGGTCAACACCTCGCCCACGGACCACAAGCAACTTGCTGGCACCTCACTGCCAATTTCCCAAGCAGCTTTACTTCTCCTTGTACAGTTTTATTTGTTAAGTGTTGGTTAAGGGTAAAATTTTCAACAGTACAGGAGGAATTTGGGGTACCTAGGGCAGAGTTGCATCTCTCTGATGCTCTTAATGTCCAGGTCAGTGAGTGGTTTCTGCTTTCAATCCCTTTCCTGAGTTCCCTTCTCTCAGGAGGAAAACCAGAAAGGTGGGATGAGAGGATCCTATTTTAGCACTGGGGCTTCACCAATCTTTCCATTTCACTTCCCTGTCTGTTACACTTACAGCACAGCCCTGACATCTCTCCAAGTGCTTTACAATGGCAGAAAAATTCCTTGCGTGTTGCAGATGGAAAGTTTGAGACATGGATTTTGCCTGGGGAAGCCTGGGGTATCTTGTGGCCTACTGGACATCAGTCAAAGAAGTCTTGCTGTACAGATTTTAAACAGGATCTGTAATCTTTCTGTGCCCCAGCCAACCTACAAATAAAGTGAAAAGGATCGTGGAATCAGTTTCATGGAACTAGGACAAAAGATGTGATGTAAGGACAGGTTGAGCTGTGAACCTCCTATGCAAACTAAACCTGGCCCCATCCACCTTAAGACACAACTCCTTATTCAGGGTAATAAATTCTCAATCTGCTGAAACCAGCGTTTGTTGATCTGTCTCCAGCTCCAAATTACCTGCAATTCTTGAGTTACCTACATTACATTATTACACAAGACTTATAATGCCTACAGCATAAAAAAAATTACCAAAGGAAGCCAAATGAAAGGTTGGGTCCAATACATTTTATGACAAAGTTCTCCCTGAAATTAAGGGGGGATGGAATTTCATCTGTGCACTTCCAGATGACCAGAGGGAAGCATTTACCTTTCTGAAATGGTGCTGAGAGTCTTTCATGGTGCCTACTTTTGATTCTCACTGCAAGGGCACGCTACCTGGACCACATTTGCAAGGCTATGGAGACAAAATTAAAGTAGCCAGAAGGAACACATCTCTGTGTTTCTACACCTCACAGGATATGCATATTTTAAATGGAAAGGCAGCTTTAGCTCAGCTTTTAATATATTTCTTCTTATGAAGCAGTATCTTGTGCTAGAGCAAATATTCTTTCAGCTCAAGTTGCTAAGAACCTTAAATTCTGCTAAAAAAAAGAAAAAAACCTCTGTAAAATTTTTGTTTCATTGTCAAAACCTGCTTTGGTTATAGCTATTTTCAGCCTTTGAAATTCCAAGACAAACAATCTGCCATTGAATTTCACTCATATCAAATGCTATACTGCTAAACTTGGTGGAGAAAAAAATTAAATTACCAAACTTTGTCTTTTTTCATTCCTAATTATTTCTCATCTATACAAACAATGTTGGGGGAAAAAAATCAACTGCTTTTTACGGGTTTGTGAAATGATTGATTCCTAGATTTCTAATGCAGTAACAACTCTGCCCAATGCTAATGTTAGAAGAGAGTTTATTGATAGAATACTGAAGCAACTTTGACTATAAGCACGGGAAAATGCTGCTGTGAGCTGTTCTCAATTTCAGACCACAGAGATGCAAGAATAAACCAACAGTTACAGTGCCTCGTTAGCCCCAGAATCACAGGTCCTGCCTGGGACTGTGTGTCTGAAACTACACCTTGCCTAGACAAAGGGATAGTGCCAGCTTTTTTTTGTTCCAACAAGAATTCTTTAAAATGACAACTCATATTTGCAGGGTAGTAGAAGAAGCCCCCCCTCCTTAGAGGTATTTAAAGCTGACTTAACAAAACCCTAGCAGGAGTTCTATAAACTGCATTATCCTAATGCTTCATACACTTTAATTCTCAACATGTAGAACTCCATTACTTCCAAAGAGATAACTAACAGGGCATTCAGCAATTATGTGACAATTGGAAAAGCTTACTGAAAATTAATAGTAAAGCAAGAGCACCTATTAATGATAACACAACAGAGCAATTTTTCATCTTCTTATCAATAACAGCCCAGACATGCACTGACTGTGCATTGCAAATTGTTGTTTTGCTCCATATTGTCAACAGAAGGTAAACCTGGCTTTAAAAATTAATGTGTTTATACAGGAGCAAATGAGCACCTTAACCTGACTCAACAGCAGCCTTCCTTACTGCTTAATATATCCAAATATGCAAAATATTTTAGGAAATTTATATGTGCAATTGCTGCATGCATACTGCTACTCCATCTATTAATCAAAATAATAATCTAGAAACATGCTACAAAAATGTATCTATGCTGTCTTAAAAGTATAAAATATGAACTTCTGACTGAGCAACGTTGGATACAGCACACAAAGAATCACCTAACACTGCTTTCAGAAATTCAGTGACACACTCTGCCATAATCTCCCCAGATTTGTGAAGTTTCACATGGATTTCATCCTAATTTATGCATCTTTAACAAGTAGGTAAGTAGACAGCACACTTTGATATCTGAAAGGAAAGACAGCATTTGAAGTTCAGTCTATTAAAATAAAAAGAACTTCTCCCTTCACTGAAAGGCAGTGCCAAAGTATTTCCCATTCTAACACCTCTGATTTTATAAAAAATTAAGACTGCCCCAGCAGGAAGGGTTTGATGGTAGAGCATTTCTGGCTTACTAAAATGCTGCTGTATTGCATCACTGAAACCCAGGATTTTTTTTTTTCTTGGCTGAAATGCTGAGCCTTTACTGCAATGCTCATATTATCCACACTGATTTTTGGTTAAAAAAAGAAAGAGAACATCAAGAATCAGTAATAACAATGCCTCCCTTCTAAACCTGCTAATCAGATCCCAGGAAGCCACCAGTCCCTCCAAATTCTGGCCAGAGAACAAAGAATAGCACAGACTTGCATTCAATGCATTACCACCAACACAAAATATTTCTTAATGTATAATAAGCTGTAACTCAACAGATGTTCTGGTAAGAGCATGCCAAAAAATGCATTTACACAACTTTTTAGTAGTAGGTTAGCCTTAAAAGGTACACCTAAAATCCTCAAAAATCTCACACATTCTCATTTTCTTTACCTTATTATTTAAACTAACTTATATAAGGTATAAAACTAATTGGCTCCAAAACCTTGCTGGTTTGCATCTAAAGAATGCAGAAAAAATGAATCCTCCTGAGTGAGCTGAGTGCCACGTCCACCTGAGAACCTGCAGTGGCTATTTATGATTTTTGTTTGACCCAAGGCAGCAACTTTGCTTCATTCAGGCAGCCTTCACTTGCACACTCACAGCAAACAACTTCCCAACATCACCTATAAAACACTGCACAACAAACCCCATCCCTGATGGAACAAGTTTCAATTGATCCCTTTGGTAGTTCTTAAAAAAAATAGGAAGAAAAGAGGATGGTGCGAGTGAGAGAGGTTGTAGGTGTGAGGAAGGAGTTTTTATTTAGTTCCCCTCTGCTCAGCAACTTTGTAATCCATTTGCTGCTCTCCTTTCCCATCTCTCACCCCTGCGCGTCGTTTAGTTGGAAACTGGGCTGCAAGAATGTGAAGAATGTAAACAGCCTTTTATTGTCCAAAAGGATGGGAGTGTGAAAGAAATGTGCGCCTTATCGCAGGGCTGCAGCTCGCTACTTCATTGCTATGATAAAGTGCTGGAGCAAAAAACATTACACGACAAGCACAATCCAAAACCGGATTAGAATTTGACATAAGCTTCCTCAAAAACTAATCAATCACCTCACACTGTAACACTAGACTCCAGCTCTTAAGGAGGGTGTTTAATCCCTTCAAGGTTTATTACACACTCACTATTGACTACTTCGTGACAAACTTTCGCGTCCAAGGCAGCCGGGGAAGGGAGGCGCAAGTAGAGTAACACCAAAACTCCCTCCAAAACAGCAAGCGCAGTTAAAATATTTTCGAAATAAAAGTGAAGATGACCAAACTCTTCCGCAAACACGTTTTTTTCCTCTTTATGACCGCCTCACGAACACGAGCATCAGTCCATTTGCTCCGCGCCACCAGCGCCCCACGACCGAGGGCTGGGCGGGCTGGGAGAAGCGGAGCTCCTCGCTCGCCTCCCTCCCTCCCTTCAGAGCTCCGAACTCCGCATCTGCATCTCACCTCGCCGCCACGTCAGTCCCCGCATTCCCCCACCGCACGCAGAGGAATATTCACCATAACACCGGCGTGCCCCACATCTTCTGAGAAAAATTAAGGGAGCACCTGCAGCAAGCCGAAACTAACGGGGGAGCTTGCCCAGCGCAGGCGACTCTGCCTGCACGCCCGGCTATGTCTTGCACGCGAAAAAAAAAAGGCGCTTGAGGCCAGCAGAAAACTTTCCGGGAGCGGGCAGCCCCGGGGATGCTCGGCACACACAAACACTCCATCCCTCCCACCCCTGCCCGCGGTGCTCTCCAGCTCCGCGGCGGCTCCCGGCGCATCCCGGCGCCGCGCTGGGCTCGGGCACGGAGCGTCCCGCATTCCCAAACGGGGCGAACAGCAGCAAACCCGCTTAATTAAAATAAAATAAGAATAATAATTAATTTTAAAAATAAATTAAAAAAAGATGGAAAAATAAAAAGAAAACTGAGAATATGTTAGGGGCTGCGGGATGCAGGTTAAGGGAAGCGGGCTCCAGAGGAGACCGCGCCCGCCGCGCTCCCCGGAGGAAGGCACCGGTGTCCGCCGAGCCCCCCGTGGGAGTCCGGGTGCCGCGGGGATGGAGACTTACGAGCTGGAGGACGCCCTGGACCACGACGAGGGGCAGGGGCTGCAGGGGCACCATCCTGGCTGCCGGTCTAGGCGGCGACTCCCCCGGCGCGGGTCTCGCTCATCGCCGCTCCGGGAGGAGGACGGGGGGCAGGACCGAGCGCAGGGACACGCCGCCCGCTGTCCCCGCTCACGGGGCGCTGCCAGGCAGCGGCCAGACCCCGGCACTGCCGCGGCGCTCGGCTCGGCGCCGCTCGGCTCCGCGGGCGGCCATGGCGGGCGGGAGGCGGGCTGAGGCGGGCGGGAGGGGCGCTGAGCGGACCCCGCTGCCCCGGGCGGGGCGGCCCGGCCCTCACGGCAAGTTTAAAGAGGCGGCGGCCCCTCCTCCGCCCGCGGCCGCCCTGCCGAGCCTGGGTGCGCCTCCGGGAGCCGCCCCGGGCTGCCCGGCCCCGCCGCCGTGGGGAAGCGGAGACAGGTGAACGGACTCGACGGCTGTCCCCTGGTCCCGGCTTTATAGGGCACTCCTGTCACAGCTCCCTCCTTTGGGGGGATCTGCCCGGGCAGCCACGGTGCTTGTGGGGAAACCCGACGCGGTTGTGCTTCGCGGCTGTGAGCAGGCACGGTGGGACGGCCCGGGGACACTCAGAGCGTCCTGGGGATGCTGAACCTGTCCTGGGGACGCTGAACCTGTCCCGGGGACACTGGGCCTGTCCCGGGGACACCGCACACCTGTCACCTGGGGCCGGTGCGCACTCTTCGGGCACAGGGTGATGTTCAGGTGGGCTCCCTGTGCAGGGCCGCAGGGTCTGGGTGATGGTGTCCGAGCCTGCAGGGAGCCCCGAGGACTGCAGGACCCATCTCCAAATAAGTCACTGGGGTCAGATCCATTTAATAACCTAATTTAGTGAATTCTCACCAGATCCATTGTTGAGATAGCCATGAGCAGGCTGAAACAGTTGCCCCTCTGTTTTTGTGACAATTGTGTAAGATGGCGACCTCAAAAGGGGAAATAAAGTTTTGTGTGACCCCAGCCAGGTTTGGCACACGAACCACACACACACAGCCTGGGCTGAAGCAGTGCCACCACTGCAGGTACACCTGCGTGTGCCTGGCAGTGCCTGTGTTTGCCTGTGTTCCATGATGTGATATGTGAGCTCTCTGCCACTGGGCTGAAGTGAAGTGCAAGTGGTGGTTTCAGTTTCCAAACCCTGCCTGCCGTTTGTAGATTAATTTCCTCTTAATTCTCAGCCTCATCTTCTTACTAAGTCTATATTCAGGTTACATTTTGACTACCCTTGTATGTTCAACTGCTAAAATCCTTGTCAGTGGAAACAGCTTTGCAATCCCTCTTGTGGCACTTGAGAGCAGCCATGATTTTACCATGTAGTGATTGTGGTTGTTTGGTTACATCTCACTGGTTCCCTTCCTAGCTGGCGGCAAGGTGATTTGTAAAAGGTACCATGTGCCATAAGTCACAATCACTCATTTGTGTTTAGACAAAATGCTTTATCTATAGCAACAGAATCGTCTTATTAAGGGAACCCCTTTAAATGAGTTCATTTGAAATAGTGATGGTCACTGAGTCAATGTATTATAATGAATTTAATAGAGTTACTCTTTGTGGAAAAAGTTCAAGAGTTTTTTTTCATAGAATTGTAGACTCTCAGAATTATTTGTGTTGGAAGAGACCTTAAAGTTCATCTTGTTCCACCCCCTGCCTTGGGCAGGGACACTTCCTACTAATCCAGGTTGCTCCAAGCTCCATCCAACCTGGCCTTGGGCACTTCCAGGGATGGGGCAGCCACAGCTTCTCTGTGCCAGGGCCTCTCCACCCTCACAGGGAAGAGTTTCTTCCCAATCTCTACTCTTAACTCTGCTCTCTGTCAGTTTGAATCTATTCCCCCTTGTCCTGTCCCTCCATCCCTTGTCTGAAGTCCCTCTCCAGCTCTCCTGGAGCCCCTTTAGGCTCTGGAAAGGACTCTGAGGGGCTCCCAGTGCCTTCTCTTCTCCTCTCCACACACCCTCAGCTCTCCCAGCCTGGCTCCAGGTGCCTTCCCTTCTCCTGTCCAGCCTGGCTCCAGCAGAGCAGAGCTGCTCCAGTCCTCAGAGCATCTTTGTGACCTTCTCTGGACTTACAGCTCCATGTCCTCTGTACCTCGGGGCCACAGAGCTGATGTGGTGCTGCAGGTGAGGTGTCACCAGGGCAGAAGGGGAGGAACCCCTCGCTCCACCTGCTGCCCACGCTGCTTTTGAGACAGCCCAGGACAATTTCTGGACTGCCAGAGCTCACTGCTGGGTCACTTTGAGCTTTACATCAACCTTCACCTCGGGGATGCCTTTGATCCTTTCTCCGCCCAGCCTGCGCTTATGCTTGGGATTGCCCCGACGTTACAGAACGATCAGAATAAAATACGCCAGGATTTACCCGCATTAGAATTTATATCCGAAAAGTTGCGTGGATGGAAAGCAGTCAAACACTGCTTTAACGCTGAGAAATGGTGCTTTCTGCCGTGCCGAAATTGCGTTTTTTGCGCTCAACCGCGGGGCCCTGCGGCGAATGGACACAGCTCGGGCGCCCTCTGCCGCTTTAAAGGCTCCTAAATTCAGAGTTGGAAAGGCTGAATTCGGATCAAATATTTAGATAGATCTCGTCCGTATTTAAAAAATACATTAAAAAAAATCTGTGTTCTATAAAGCACAGAGATTTAAAGATTTTTTTTTAAAATCTGCGCTGAGGGAAAGCTGAATTTCTGTAATTGGCTTTTAATGGAACAATAGCGTTGGAACTGAAGTACTGCAGTTTTATCCTATTAAATACAAACAGAGTTGATTCAGATGACATTAACTTTGTCACACAAGCTACCAGAAGCCAGCCTGAAATCATACTTTTTTTCCATTTTAAGTAGCAGTAAATAATTGTAAAGCACTTTGAAGATGAGAAGCATCATGCACAGTAAGTGCTAAGTATTATTGTTATTTGCATTATTTGCCAGAAAAGTCACAGTAGTGCTGGCTAAGAAGAGAATGGAAGGCCTGTGCTTTGCATTTCCTTGCTTTGCTGTGTTAGCATGATCTTTAAACCTCATTTAAATGGGGATGGGCAAATTTTCTGGTCTAATTTTAAGGCACAATAACTGCTAGTTGGTTTATCTCAGGAAATAATGGTTGTATACTGCAGGAAGTAATCCTAATCTAAACCTCTCTAGAAATGGATTGATGAGCCAGCTGTGGAAAAAATAAACTAAAAGATCAGGGTCCTGTTAAACCACTTGGCTGCTACAAGACAGTGAAAAATACCTGATTAACACACGATCTCTAATGCTTGTGCACAAAGCCAGTAGTAACTTTTATTCCTTTATCAAGTAATTTGTCCACACAAACAAGTTTGATGCCTGTAGTTATCATCAAACCCATCCGTTTTCAGCCTCAATTCAAGTCTCAAATCTCATTCCTCTGAGTTAATTTAAAGCATTGATGTAACTTTTACTTCTCTTAGTCCTGAGACTCCTCACTCTGTTTCCAGCTCCTGGGAACAGTGGACTGGAAAGAGCTGCCTGTGCCATCCACCTCCCTTAACTGCAGATAGTGAAGTGTGGGGTTTTTGGAAACTCTTCAAGTTCTTCCTTTAAAATAGCTAGTTAGGAGTAGGGGAGTTTCATGCTCCAAAAATTCACACCTCTGGCATTTGAAAACCTCTTCCTAACCTCTAATTTTCAAATTTACTGTATCTGATAGCTGATCCTTTTACAGTCAACTGCTTTATGTTAATGAGCTCTTCTTCCTAATTATAATGTGCAGCCCCAAAAATTTAAAAGGTACAGATTCCCTTACAAATTTTATTAATCATGTGAGCCAGGCAGTCTCTTACAGGCAATAGCACTCCATTTCCTGTATTAGTCTAGTAAAGCTTTTATTTTATCTGTTCCCATTGGAATAAATTTTTTTTTTCTTTGGAGGTGAGCATTCGAATTTAGATGCTGGAGTCTTGTGGAACATCATTAATGCCTAATTTATCTCTGTTGAAAAGAGAATCTTTGATGCACCATGTGACAGTATTTTCCTTGTCTAGAATGCATCCCCATTATATTTTCTCTGGATTGTCCCAGTTGTTCCAATGTGTTACCCAGATCCTTCACACTACTGAGTGCCTGCTGCTTCTGTGTGAGCAGCATATTTCAATAGCAATGCCTGCCTGGCTGGAATTGCTAATTAATTTATTGACTAGCTAATTAATTTATTGAATACCAGTGGTGCTAAAGATCAATCTCTGAAGAACCCTATTAGTTATTTCCTCCCAGACCTTGAACACAGTCTGTTAAACCATACCTTACCCTCTTCACAACTTTTTCCCAATTATCCTCTCCAGCCTATTTGTTTCCCTCCATGACATCCAATCATATTTTGGTTGAAGTGCTGATAAATGACTCTATTTCTTTTGTCTATAAAATTAGTAACCTAATCAAAGGCAGGAAATGAAATATTTGTCATCCTAGAATAATCTACCTTTCTGAAAAAAAACCAAAACCCTTCAAACCAAACCCAGATGCATTTATCCCATATTCCATTTCTCTGCATTTCCAAGCCTTTTTTCTACTCCTTCAGGTTGCTTTCAACAGCTTTGCATATTTCCAAAACTCATATTTGCTGATACTGTGTTTCTCTTCATATTCTTAGGAATTCGATTTGCATTTGCTGTTCCACATTTATACCATTCCTAATTTCACAGCTTCATTACTGATCTCCTCTCTCTGACTTGCAGTTTCCCACGTTGGTTATTTCAGATTCAGGAGTGAGAACTGTCCACTTCCACATCTCTGCTTGTCTGAGCACATCAGCCTTTGGAATTCCGGTTTACCCAGGGTGTTGCAAACAGTTTTTCCTGCCCTTTGATTAGCAATATTTGCCCTAAGATTCAGGCTAATCAGTCACATTGAAAGCTAAAGTAGGAGATTAATTTGAGGGAGATTGATTTCCTTCCAAAGAGAGAATGACTTGGGTTTTTGCCTTTCCATGTACTTTTGAGGGAGGCTGAAGATCCTGGCTACTTTTTCATGTGATCTTTTATGACTCTCAGTTTATTACACATTCTGACCTCTAATAAATCCATTAACTTTGATTATCAATATTTAGCCTTATTTTAGTGCTCTGTGCTTATCTTTAAATGCTAAGCTATTTTATCTAGATAGTCCCAACACAGTTGGGACTGAGACATTAAGAAGCCAAGTTAAACTTCCAGAGTTTTTAAACTACTTTAGAAATGTCAAAACAGGCAAATGGGAAAAATTTTGGAAGGTACATTAATGAGAAGA